GAATCTCGGTTAGTGGGAAAAAAAAGGAACAGACTTAAAGAATGTAACATCTATGGAGACAAAGTGATGATGAATGTGAACATAACAAACACAACTAAACACTTTCGAAGGGACAGTAAACTAGGCAGTGTCACGGTGTAAGACAGAGAAAGGGGATTGATACCCAAGAACCTTAGAAGGCATGCGATTGATAAGGTATGTAATTGTTAAGGTTGCATCAGCCCAATAACTTGTAGGCACTCCCATCCCAATTAGAAGAGAACGGGTCACCTCTGTAATATGACGATGTTTTCTTTCAGTTACACCGTTCTGTTGTGGTGTATCGACACAAGAGTTTTGATGGACAATCTCGTTATCAGCAAAAAAAGAGGCAAGACCACCATACATAAACTCTCCTCCATTATCAGATCGAAGGATTTTGAGGGGACAACCAAACTGAGTACATACCATACTATGAAAGGTTTTAAAAATGGAATGAACTTCATCTTTGGTTTTCATTAGATAAAGCCAAGTATATCGACTAAAGTCATCAACAAACACAACAAAGTAACGAAAACCAAGTAACGAAGTAGTAGATTCAGGACCCCACACATCAGAATGAACAAGCTGCAAAGGAGTTGTATTTTTATTAATACTAGTAGGATAAGAAACACAACATTGTTTGGCAAGAACACTTGTTTCACAATTTAACTCAAAAGATTCAACAAAAGCAAACTGGGGAAGCACATGGTTCAAAACAGGAAGAGCTAAATGACCTAGTCTATTATGCCATCGCATTAACAGATTTTTATTGACATTACTATTCCTAACACTAGATTGATTTGCAACATAATATGAAGTTCGCTTCGCGTTCAGCAAATACAAGTCATTGTCCTCACGTCCACTTTCAATCGTCTTCCCTGTGTCCAAGTCCTGAAACACATAGTGAGATGGAAAAAAGGTTACACTACGATTCAAAATTTTGTAATGTGATTGACAGAAAGGAGGTTATTGGTAAACTTTGGGACATGAAGGACAGAGGATAAGGTAAGATTAGGAGAGGTAGAAACAGTGCCCTTCCCCGCAATGGAGGTGAAGGTGCCATCAGCCACTCTAACCTTATCCTTACCAGAATATAAGCTGTACGAAGAAAAATCAGATGCCATACCAGTCATGTGATCAGTGGCTCCTGAATCAATGATCCAGGGTGGTCCACCAGATAATGTGGAAACTTGATGTACTGAATGAGAGGTACCTGTCTGAGCGAAGTTCGAGGTTGAAACGGAGGAATATTGTGCTAGTAGATGTCGGACAACATCAAGTTCAGCCTCGGACAAAGAACTCAGTGGCCCTGAGGAGTCATAATAAAGAGGCATGACTAGAAGCAGTCTCACGCTCTGCAGTATGTGCCGTAGATAACCCCCTAAAGCCTAGCATTCGCATTAGCAGGAGCTGGAATAGGGCGACCGTGTAGGTTCTAACATGTTTCCCTAGGGTGGCCCACAGTGATCACACCTCAACTTGCTTTTGTCAACCTGTTTCCTCCTTTTAAGGATTGGGCTTGTTCCATTGTTGTGTGGCAAGAGCAGACCTCTTAGATAATGGTACTTCTAGCTCAGGTCTAGTAGATACGGGTGCAGACATGGCCTCATTCTACTCTCCTCAGCCTGGATATACGAAAACACATCTCTAACAGATGTATTGGTTGGATATCTGCTTAACACTTGTACCCTGGCATGCTCGTATCTCGGATGCAGACCACCTAAGAACTCATAGATTCGATTCTTTTCTACTAGCATGAAATGCTTTAACATCACCTACACACACAGGTATGTAGTCTTAGTAGTGATCTAACTATTCCCATTTACCATGTAGCGTGTGGTAATATGTAGCAAGAGTGGTCTTCCTGCTTGAATCTTGAAATTTGTTGTTGGAGTTCATACAGTTTTGCAAAATTACCAACCAAGGAATACGTCTCTTCCACAACCGTCCATAGCTCTTTAGCTGTTTTCACAAACAGAAACCCTTTGCTGATCTGTGGCTGGATGGGCTGCAACAACCACGTCATAACTAGTGCATTATTTGCACTCCACTCTTTGAATGCAGGATCGCTCTTGGAGGGATACGCGACAGTCCCTTCGATATGGTCGGTCATCCTACGACTAGTGATATGCACACGAGCAGTTTGAGCCTCCTCCATATAGTTCGACTCATCCAGCCTAACAGTTGTAATGCAAAGGCCTGGATGGTAATCATTACTACCTTCCAATACTGGTGTCAGACTAGGAGAAGACCCAGCTTCTTTTGAAGTCACCTCTAAGCTAAACATTTTATCAAACAATTTATGGGTATACAATCCTCATAAACAAAAACAGCAACAAAATACGTAGAGAACCACCTCTCTCTAACACAAACTTCAACTAAAAAGATTACCGTCTTTTGAGATGCATAAAAAAACGACCACACAGTCACCACACAAACCCTAGAAAGCAACAAAGTAGACCATACCAGAATTGTGAACGACGAACCTGGAGCTTTACAAACCATGCTCTGATACCATGTTGACTTTATGATATAATCAAATCAAAAGTAAGTGATAAAGAAGAAGAAGAAAGCAGATGAGAGAAAGAGAAAGAGATGGGGAAAGAGAGAAAGAATGAAAGAATACTTTCATCCTTTCACCACATTCTATTTATAATAATAAGTTTATGAAATTACACATAAGCCCCAACATTATATAAGTAATAACAAATAAGCCCCTGACAACATGTTTTTGTATTTATCTTTGGTTGTGATGGGGCTTTTTGCTCTGGTTCCAAATGATACACTGATAACACTTGATACAAGATTGGAAATATAGAAATAGTGAAGATGGAATGGTACTACATGAAGGGGATGAGATGACAGACGAATGTGAGGCCAGATAGACTGAGAGGTTAAGAAGAATAAGAATTGGGTGTGAAGAAATAAATTTGGGAGGAAGAACTTGAATTCTCAATATTCAATAATGAAGTCTATGAAAAAAAAATACTGAAACGTATGCCTTATTTATAGGCAGAGCAAATCCTAAGGAAACACGAGCTTATTCGACTTAGCCCTGTTTGGAATTCATTCTTTATGTGATGATGGTTTGTGTGAACCAGTGGTTGTGATGGTGTCTCCGATGATGAAGAGAGTTGAACAATTTTGCTAATGAGGGGATGTTAGCAGAGATCAGGGTCACTGGGTGTTGGTAAAAATGTTTGGAGTTAGGTTTTGTTCGGTTGTGATTGGGTTTTAGGGCTGCTGTGGCAGAGATGAGAGAGGTTGAGATGTACAATAATGGTAGGGCTAAGCAATTGAAGGATAAATAAATCTGGAACAATATGCTCTAAATTCGGTTTTTTCGTTGTGATATGGTTTCACTTTTTGATGATTGATTATTGATTTTTGCATATCAATAATTCTCTCCCAAACTATTCTTTTACCTCTTCTACTTCTCTCTCTTCTCGTTCTACATTAAGGCCTCTAGTGTGAGGGCAAACACAAGTTAGGAGACCATGTGGAAATGACTTGATATTACTATTAACGCAAAGGAAATGACATAATTGGTGATTATCAAACCAAGGTTGAGAGTGAGGCACATTGTATCAAAGTGGTAGAGGTGACTTTAGTAATGATAAGGATGAAAATTATTATTGAGATGAGCCTAGTAGTGTCAAAGTTGGGATATACAAGAAGAATATCTAACGGGGGATACTAGTGCCAATGATAGTATGATGTCATTGTACTTATCCAAGAAGAAATGGAAAAGGAGAGCATGATGTCAAGTTGGATGATACCCTTACTAGAAGAGGAAGGGTAGTCCTTGCATCAATGTCATGACAGTGGAGAACTTCATGGATGAAGTGAATACCTTAGGCATAGGGCTCGTGTATGCTAAGAAAATTCCATGATAGGCTAAATGGCAATGAATCATACTGTCGGCTTGGGTGAGGGCCGTTACTACTATGGTTTCCTCCTGGGTGCCAACACATTCTCAGAGAGTGATGATGTTTATAAATTGTGTTATGTGGATTCCTGTAGTTCTGCAACAAAGGCCTCAAAGAAAGTGGTGTTGATGGTGGTACCGTAGTAAGAATAATTCCATGATAGGCTTAATGGCAATGAATCATAGCAAAAATTGCATTTCAATGAAATGGATTGTATGTGCCTCCTTGCTAGCTGTATGTTTGCTTGATTGTTGGACCATCATTTAATCTGCAGTAAAGCATAGTTGTAACGGTCCTCACCTTAGCCGACACAATATTGTTCGCTTTTGGCTCCCCCAATCCAGAGAATTCCGAGGAGGTCACCCATTTTGGTACTACTTCAGGTTAAACACGCTTAACTCTGGCGTTCTAATAGGTTTACGGCCATTACAGCTTTAAAATGTGTTGTGTTATAGAAGGGTGATGAACCTACATATATGGGGGAATTGCTCACACACGTAGCTAGCACTAGAGCCTTTTTTCTCATAGTCCTGCTCCTACCCATCGAGCTTCACAATTCCACCCCCATGGGGATCCCAATGTCCCCGTCGGCACACTTCTGGTTGGTCAAGCTCTTATACCATTTGTAACGGCCCTCACCCTAACCGACACAATATTGTTCGCTTTTGGCTCCCCCAAACCAGGAATTCCCAGGAGGTCACCCATCCTGGTACTACTACTCTAGGTTAAGAATGCTTAGCACCGAAGTTCTTATAGGTTCACAGCCATCACGGCTTTAAAACGCGTCATGTGATAGAATGGTGATGAACCTACATATAGTACTTCACTCTTCCCCACCGACCCTCACAATAGTAGTGTCTTGGGCATTTTAATTCTGCTAGTTTTTGATCTTGCCGAATCCTTATATGCATCAGGCAAATGCTTGTGTATTATGTTAATGATATTATGCGCATTGATAATGTGTAAATATTTGCTTTTTTGCTTTGTTGTCAAAAGTTATCTAGATAAATGATGATTCTAACATATCTATATTTTTCGTTGTGCTTGCAGGATAAAAGCAAATGGTTTAGGGCTCTTGTAAGTATTTGTTCCCCGACCACATTATATTAATTATGCTTTTCCTTTTGGCATCAGTATTTGCTTCCATACGCAATAAGTATCAATATGGATGATGATTTTTATGGTTTTTTACATCTTGTGATAATTGACAATTTGGTTTCACGTTGGCTCAAAGCATCTGAATCTTTAGTTTGGCTATAATGTTCTACTTTTATGATCTGATTCTTTATTTATTTATAGGTTGGTTTGTATATTTTAAGTTGTAAAAAGGGATAAATAGTTATATATTGTAGGAACATGCAGATTAGTTAACTAATTAGTGGTACTTGATTACTTAATTTTTCATCAGGTACCTATTTTTCCTATAGTGTGGTTAAATGAGTGCCTTAAATTTACATTTATGTATCACACACACACACACACACACATTCTACTGTAATGATTCCCTCCCCCTCTGGGCTAGGAGCAGCGGAACCAATTTCAGAACTTCTGATGTCAGGATGTGCAAGAAAAAATTAGACTTCAACACGGGGTAGTTAGATTTTTGTTGATGAGCCAAAGGAACTCAAAATTGAGCATATTAATATATCATTGTATTGAGTCGTCTTTCATGACAGATAAAAATCCACACAATATTCCAAGTTTTGGTGATTTAGAAAGGCAAATGGGTCTAATTCTGATAGTATTTTCAATCACCAATCTGGGTTTTGATTCCAAGCCCCGTCGCAACGGTCTTAAAGGGGGTTTGGTATAAATAAAGCACAATTTTACATTTGAAAACACTTTATAACACATCCAAAAGTTATCCAAGTCCTTTGGTGTCGAGAACTTTAATACTAAGATTTATTCAGGCTATTCAACCACTTACCTTGTCATAATGTATGCGATCCAAGTTGATCAAAACCGTTAATTTTGTGGTGGTTTGTTATCTACATGTGATCGTTGAGTAAAGTTTTCAATTAAGCCTCTATTAAGCAAATCAACATGCTCATGAACATCGTCCAATTCCGGATTGCCTTTATTGGGTGCCTTTTACTCGGGGGAGATTCGAGGTTCGGTCCTTTTTTTGTTGCCTTTCGGGTTTCTCAGGGGTTGATTTTCCTAGGAGGATAGTGTGGCGTTCGAAGGCTCCCCAAAAAGTGGCATTTTTTGTTTGGATTGCAGCTTGGGGCAAGATTCAACCTTGGAACGAGAAGGCAGATTACAGTTAATTGGTGCTGCATGCGGAAAAAGGATGGCAAGCCGGTGGATCACTTGTTGTTGCATTGCCCCGTGGCTCACGATTGCTGGAGTATGATCTTTGCTTGTTTGGCATGCAGTGGGTTATGCCCCGGATGGTGAGAGGTTTAATGGACCCTTGGAGAGGGTGTGTGGTGAGTTCACACGCCCCCCTATGTGTTTGGTGGTGCATTTGGAAGGAGAGAAATAACAGATCTTTTGATGGAGAGGAGTTTCCCATAGGAATTTTGAAATTTCGTATTATTAGTTTCATTTTTTGTTGGGGTATGGGCAGATATTGTACATCTATAGAGGAGATTGTTGACTTTCTGGCCTCTTTAGGTCCTAAGGATCCCTCTTTTGGCTTTGGCTTAGGCCTCTGTGTATTCTTGGGATGCGTTCCCCTTTTGAACGCTTTCTATACTATACTTATCCAAATATATATACACACACACACACACACACACACACTCATAAACTCAAATAGACCCAAACCATTTTAAAAGAATTCCAATTACAACTTGTGTATCAATGGGAAATTGCCAACATAATGAATCTAGGTCCTAGCAATGATCCTCTTTGGCAATTATGTCATAAAACTAAGTTCGAATATGCCAGACAACCTAACGAGGGTAGAAAATTCAATTATATCAATGTGTGGAGAAATATTTTTAAGACGAAGACCAAATTAATATTTGTCTGCAGGTAGTTGCTTTTCAAATATGATTATTAATGCTCCAAAAACAACATGACGGTGTGCACTTAAAAGTCCTTAGATTCTATTAATTATTCTGACAAACTATGTGTGTAAAAGAAATTGGATTTTCTCACAAATCTCTATGTTTAATTATGTGTATGTGTCAGAAAAAGTTAAAATATATTGGTATCTTCTATATGTTTAAAACTTGTATTCCGAAGATCCTTTGTATAGGGTTTAGAAACACCCCCTTTTTCATTGAATAATTGGGAAACTTTTAAATTGTTCTTTTGTGATTTAGAAACATTATTGGACGTAAGAACTATTACTTTTTGCTCTAGCCTTATTGATTACTTGTAGTCCAAGTTCGAGTACCAGTGGTCATCTCTCTGGAGTGTTTTTCACTGTTCACAATTTTACAGACGGTTTGACTTTCGGGTTTTAGTTTATGAGCCAAATAAATCCAAAACTCTGTGAATCAGATATTGTTGGAAAATTTATCATGTGTGCTTTTGAGACATATGAAGATCAACATTAGATTCCAAGTTTTTATGCCTCTAAAAAACAATAGGTCAAATTCTGAGAGCATTTGATCCCTGATGAGGGTATCAATTCCAAGTGCACTCATAACTTGCTCAAAGGTACTGTAGACCGTATAAAACCCATTTTAACAATTATAAATACTCGACAACAGATTTTAATGTTATCCAATTTCACCGATCAACTAAGTCTACAGTACTATGGTTGACTCGGTCATGCTTGTCCTAATGCTTGTGATCAAGTTGAACATTGATTTCATTTCACCTTGCAATCGCCATGAAACTTTTGTGTAGTTGCTTATTGAAGTTCTTAATCACATCTATCTCAAGCAAAAACTAAAACCATTTGATCAATTAGAATGCTGAAATTGCGAACATAGTTATTCTATATCGTAACACATTTTTATGTAAGAAAGACAACCATATTTTCCATCTGATGGCAGTTACAGGACATGTATATGATTCCGACATAATTATTGTTTAATTTTTGGTATATAATTTTAGTTAAGAGTCCAGTGAATCATGAATTACTTACTATTTAGAGTTGGTAATTAGTTGCACAAAGCTGGCCAATTCTCAATGTGGTTTGGATATCTGAATTGAGTTGAGGTTGAACTTTTATTTTCTTTTTGCAATATTTGCTGTTGTTTATAAATATGGTTGGAAAAGAATAATTTTTGGAACATTTGACCACTATTACTGCTAATTCAGCTGATTTAGAAACAAGGTTTGAAAGCTCGGTGATAGTTCATATTGGGTAATTAAAATCGTTGGAAGAAAATGCTATTCAAATTGACTGGTTGGTTCTGATTTGGCTTTCAATCCTTTGAGGATATCTGCGTTTCATGGTGATAGTGAGCAGGGTTAGATCTGTAGGCAGAATACAGTTTGTTAGTTTTGTTCTTTTTAAACCAGTGGAGCAAAGTCCAACCTTATTTTTTTATTTATCAAAAAAAAAAGTCCAGCCTTATTTTTAAAGGACATTGCGACATCTGTCAACTGAGATAGTGGAATGTGCAGCCAAATCACTCAGTGAGTCTCAGACTAAGAATGTGTGAAGGAATTTGAGAATTTAGTGCACCCCTTCTGCTATTTTCCTTTATTCTGCATCTGATTACTTGTTTTGAGTCTTTTGACCTTGAGTTTAAATATGAACAAATGGTTAGTGTGAACTGGTTATGGGTGTGTCCGGGGTTTTGTATGATCTGCTATTGTAGTTCCCAAACTGGTTGTTGTGTCATTCCTATTGTTGCTATTCATTTCTTATTATCTTTATTCTCATCTTATTTGCCATTTTATTGAAATTTCATGAGAGGTTTGACAATTGTATCTGTGAATGATTTCTATTAGTCACTGTATGCCAGCAAGATCATTGATGAACACTTACTTTTTATGGTTGTATATTACTTTTTATGCTCGTATATTTGTGTCAGCATGCTTTGAATTCTTTCATCTTCCTAATTTTCATCTTGTTATTTTCGTGAATGGTTCTTCTCCGCTGTCTAATTATAATAAATGTTCTTAGCATGTAAGAGATTTTGTCTTTTTTATATTCTTAACTCTTTACTAGCTTAATAACAAACGAATTCTTTTATATGTATTTAGGCTAGCTCTTAGAATGACTTTCCTATTGTTGGCTTGTTAGATACTTGCAGCATGCCTATATGAAATATACTGTATATACCATTTCTTTTGTTTGTAAAAATCAGTTTGCAATGGAAGCAGCAAAGATATTTTTGGTCTTATCTATACTATTATTAAATGTGCAGAGAGTTTCAGTATTTCAGTATTTATTTATTAATATAAACAAATATTTATTAATTGATAAAAAGGGTTTCTATTAGAGAAGGATATATTCAAAGAAAATAAAATAATTTCTATAAAACTCTACCACAAATTACCTATTTTATTTTGTATAAAACTTTACCACAAATTACCTATTTTATTTTCTATAAAACTCTATCATATATAACCTATATATATATATTAGATCAGGCTTGTGGTGTGCTTATTTTTTCTTTTCTCTTTATAATTGGTCTCGTAAGTTTTTTCTTTACTTTTTCTTTTTATAAGCATTATTATTATGTTATTTTACTTTTGTTTTGTTTTTATTTTTTTCTTTCTAATTGATGTTTAGAAGTCGTTGATTTGTTTTATTTTTATTTTCTCTTTCTAATTGATGTTTCTATAAATGTTTAGAAGTAGTTGATTTTTTTTCTTCATTTTTTTATTTTATTATTTTTGGTTCATTCTTAATTTATTATTATTTTGAGTCATTATTGGTATTTTTTTTTTTTTTCTTTTTTAAGAAGTATCATTCGTCTTTTTTCTTTTTTCTTTAGTTTTTATTTTTATTTTACTCTTTGTAAGTTTGCTTTGGATGGTTCAAAATTTGTTATTCTTAATTTGTTGTATTGAGAAGGTTGGATTGTTTTTTTTTTTTTTTTACTTTTCCTTTTTAGAAGCATTATTAGTATTTTTTTCTCTTGTTTTATTTTTATTTTTCTCTTTCTAATTGATGTTTAGAAGTAGTTCGTTTGTTTTATTTAATTTTTCTCTTTCTAATTGATGTTTAGAAGTAGTTGATTTTTGAAGTTTACTTTGAATTGTGATTTTTTTTCTTTTATTTTATTATTTTTTATTTTTGGTTCATTCATAATTTATTATTATTTTGAGTCATTATTTTCATTTATTTTTCTTTACTTTTTATTTTTCAAAAGTATCATTTTTTTATTGTATTTATCTATTTATTATGAGTTTTTTAATAAAAGGAAATCTAATTAGACAATGATATATTTAAAGAAAATAAAATAATTTTTATAAAACTTTGTCACAAATGACAAATTATTTTATAAAACTCTACCACAAATTATCTATTTTATTTTTTATAAAACTCTATCACATTAGACAATGATATATTTAAAGAAAATATATAATAATATAATAATACATATAAATAAAATATAAAAGTGTAAAGAATTTTAGCATTTCAATATTTATTTTTTAATATAAAAAAATTTATTAATTAATTTTAAAATAAAACTCTATCACATATAACCTTTGTATTTATCTATTTATAAAATCTAATTAGATAAGGATATATATAAATAAAATAAAATAATTTTTATAAAATAATTAAAAAATATATGCAAAGAAAAATTCGATAAGTTACAAAACATTCATCACGTGCATCGCACATGCCTTTTACTAGTGTGTGTGTATATATATATATATATTGACATTGCTGACATCTCTGGTGCAAGTATTCATCTATTAGCTTTTTCGTTTAATATTTGTTTTTGTTAAACTCATTTCAGCCTTTTGAGGAAAGAATGAAGAATGCTCATGAGCAAGGTACACTTGTATTGCTTCGAAATGTGGATCCAGAATATACCTCTGCAGAAGTTGAGGTAACAATTGTTCCGTTGCAAGTATTCTCTATATATATTGTATTTTGTTTCTTACTGTTTGCTGTTTAGTGCTTATGGAAAATTCTAGTAAACAAATGTAATTATGATCTTATTATTACATTGTAATTATTCCTTTGTATTTTTGATTGCATACCTACGTAAAAATCCTTTGTATTTTCGATTGAATACCCCTATGTAATATTGTGACAATTATAAAATGTTGTTTGACCCCAAGAAAATGCTGTTGAGAATTGTGTCAAATACTTACTGTTTAGACAGTTTGTACAGATTTGTAATTGTATTCCTTATGGTGCGTGTGAAGTAAGTTTGGAGTCTTGCGGACATGCACTTATTGGCATGAGCATTAGCATTTATGTTGTAGATCCAAGTGGTAATATCAAAGCTCTTGGCTATGTTGTTGAGAGGTCATGGTCAATTCCAAGAGGTTCCAAACTTGCAATTCACAAAACTGTGATAGCTAGCAGTGTTGAGATGTAAAATTATTGGTTTTGTATGTTCTTGTCTGATGAATGCATGAAAGGTGGTTATTTATTACTTTTAAATATGTGATACAACACTAAACAGAAGTTTTCATTATGTTTTTTTTAGAAGAATTTACTTTCTGCATGTTTTTTAGTTGTTAGAGGGCCTTCTTTTAACCCCACATGAAAATGGTGGGGAATTGTTTGCAAAAACATATATGGGTTAACCCATATATTCTAGGTTGCTACGAGTACTGTCCGTATGGATGGCAATTTGTGTCAATAGGTTGTGTTTGTGTCATATTCAGATAAGGGTAGTCCAGTGTACGAGTTAATTGAACATGACATGTTTAACAAACAGTTAGCACGAAGCTACTCATGTAACTCATTTAGTAAATGGGTAGTAGCACCACGCTCCATTTAACAATCTATTTCCTGAATGTAACAAAAATATTAAAATCTTGAATTAAATTTTTTGAAATAACTAAATGTTTCATTTTATCTCATTAAATCACACAAACATCAACGTAGGTTTTCACTATATTATGCAAATATAAATATATTACCCACTATTTAGGAAACAAATATATATATTACCTATTGCATAGGTTGAAACATGTTATGGGTCATATAATTAATTAAATGCATCAATTCAGGTTAAACATGTTTAGTCCCCAAACCTGAGCCCTTTTTTCCCTTTTCTTTTTTCCTTATAAAATTGTTAATTGGGTAGACACGATTATTGCTCAAACAAAGATCAAGTTTAGCACAATCCTGCTAATTTTGGATTCATGTCGTGTTGACAGTTGTATCAATTTTTGCCAATCCTGGCTATGAATATAAAGAAATCCCTTCAAATTTTGCCTACCCTCGCTATGAGAATAAAGGAATTCTTTCAACTACAAAGTCCAAACTATTCTTAAAAAGTTGTATTGTCCTCTCAGCATATATAGCACGCTGTTGTATATTAAATTGTTAGTATCAATAATTTAGTGAATTTTGTAGGTTGAAAATTTAGTGAAAGTAGTTTACTATTAATATATTCTAATAGTTGCTGTTAGTTTGTTGGATTATTTATGTTTTACATTTAGCTTTTAACTTTTTAAATAGTTACTGTTACGTTACGCTGACTGTCCAAATGTCTAGTATGACATCATGTTTTAATGCAAACCAGTAATTATAATTTCCAAAGTTATAAATATAATTTAATTAATATGTCTAATATAGTAAATTAGCAAAAAAAAAATATTTAATATAATATACTATTATGACAAACGCAACGAACTCAACTTGAACCAAGAATCATGACAGAAATTAAACACGCCACACAAAGATTTATACGTGGTTTGGCAACAGTCTCCGTCCACGGTTGGGACCCGGAGAAAGTTTTCATTGTATAAAATCGGAGATTACAAGTTTTCAGCCCTTCACTCTGTTTCTGTACGAATATCAGTGTCTCTCTTCTTCACCACTTCAAACCCTAAGCGCCCTTATATATCGGGCTACAAGAGACTAATTTGGGTGCACGACCCATGACCAAAAAAAGGGTCAAAATTTTTCCTTTGGGGCAAGTCCCCGACCCTCATCCAACGGGTCGTCGGGTTATAAGCTGGTTGCACCAAATTCGGGCCACAATATCACAAATCTCCACCTTGGCTTGAATTATGCCAAGCTCCACAATCTCCAACTACTCCTTTCGCCGCCTCCACATGCCCCTAAGGGCGTTAGCAACTGCAAGTACCAATCAAGACTAGACAATGTCTGAACTTGAGTGTAGGAATGACCTTAGTCATCATATCTGCTGGATTCTCTGCTGTCCCAATCTTCCTCACTACAATAGCACCCTGTGCAACCACATCTTTGATGAAGCAAAACCTGACATCAATGTGCTTGGTCCTCTCTTGGAACAAATGATTTTTAATCAAATGTATGGCACTCTGGTTGTCGCAAAACAAACTCAAATCATCCTACTGCAAGCCCAAATCACCAACTAAGCCTCTTAACCATATAACTTCCTTCACTGCCTCTGTAGCTACCATGTACTCAGCCTCAGTAGTAGACAATGCAACTATGGGCTGCAAAGTCGACTTCCAACTGATCACACTCCCACAAAGAATGAAGACATACCCTGTCAAGACCTCCTCGTAACAAGATCTCTAGCATAATCCGAATCAACATATCCAGCAACATGTGTCGCTGCCTCTGTCATAGACTAACCCCTCTATCATAAACTAACCTAACATCTGCAGTGCCTCGCAAGTATCGTAATATCCACTTCACAGCCTGCCAATGGACCTTCCTAGGTTTATCCATGTATCTTCTCATTACACTAACTGCATGTGAAATGTCTGGCCTAGTGCACACCATAGCATACATAAGGCTACCAACTGCACTAGCATAAGGAACACGAGACATATGCTCCACATCCTCCTCGGTCTGTGGTGACAATCGTGCTGAAAGTCTAAAGGAGTACTCACAGGTTTTGATGCCTGCATACCAAAGCGTTCCAGCACCTTCTCAATGTCTTTCTCCTGTGACAAATACAATCTGCCTGCTCCTCTGTCCCTGTGAATTTCCATTCCCAATATCCTCTTTGCAGCACCAAGATCCTACTAAGCTGAGCCTTCAACATGTTGATTTCAGACATGTTCTTGCAAGCTATCAACATGTCATTAACATACAGTAACAAGTACAAATACGAACCATCTGAGAGCTTCTTGTGATACACACAATTGTCAGACTTACTCCTACAGTAGCCATTCCCAACCATAAAGGTGTCAAATCGCTTGTACCACTGTCTAGGAGACTGCTTCAGCCCATACAAGGACTTCTTTAGTAGGTAAACATGATCTTCCTTTCCTGGAATCTCAAACCCCTTAGGCTGATGCATATAAATCTGCTCTTCCAACTCACCATGCAAGAAAACAGTCTTGACATCAAGCTGCTCAAGCTCCAAGTCATACAGAGCAACCATAGCAAGTAACACCCGGATTGAGCTATGTTTCACCACAAGAGAAAACACTTCATTGAAGTCCACCCCTTCCCTCTGTGTATAGTCCTTCGCCACCAAGCGTGCCTTGTGCCTCGCATCTTCCACCCCTGGAATTCCTTCCTTCTTCTTGAAGACCCGTTTACAGCTCACAATTTTCTGGCCCTTACGCTTTTTAACTAGCTTCCAAGTCTGGTTCTTATTAAAAGACTCAAGCTCTTCACTCATGGCAAATGACCACTGTGCTGACTCTCCACCTGTGATGGCCTCATGATAAGTACACGGCTCATCAATATCCTCTGCCACACTAAGTGCATAAGCAACTGAATCAGCATTTGAAACCCATACTTCTTAGGTGGCCTAATATCCCTCCCAGGCCTGTCTCTAGCCACACTATACTGCTGCAACTGTGCATCTCCCTCAGCCCGAAACTGCAACTGCTTATGAGTCAACCGTATAGGACTATCCCTGAATCAAATACCTCTTGTGGAGTAAGCATCGTAGACTCATGAAAGGTCACATCCCTGCTAACAAGTATCTTCGCCACTGGGCACCATAATCTGTATCCTTTGACCCTTGGCTGATAACCAAGAAATATGCATTTCTTAACCCTCGATTCAAGCTTCCCCTCATTCACATGAGCATACGCTAGACACGCAAATATTCTCAGATTACTGTAACTAGCAGGAGAACCAGACCATACCTCTAAAGTCTTACAGTCGATAGCAGTCAATGGAGACTGGTTTACCAAGTAACTAGCTGTATACACAGTTGTAGCCCAAAACACTTTATCTAACCCTGTATTGGGCAACATACACCGTGCCCTCTCTAATAGCGTTCTTTTCATCCGTTCTGCAACTCCATTCTGTTGCGGAGTCTTCCTCACTGTGTGGTGACTCACAATCTCGTGAGTCTTGCAAAACTCATTATATTCTCCATCACAAAATTCCGAGCCATTGTCCGTCCTCAAGTGCTTGTCTGCTTCTCAATCAAAGTCTTCCATTGCTTGAATATAACAAAAGTCTCATTCTTGTGTTTCAGAATATAAACCCAAACTTTCTGAGAAAAGTCATCAATCAACGTCATCATATATCTATCACCACCATGTGAAGTAATTTGAGAGGGACCCCAAAGATCAGAATGAATATAATCCACCGTACCCTTGGTGCTGTGAATTCCTGTACTAAACTTCACTCTGCACTGCTTCCCGAAGACGTAATGCTCACAGATATCCAGCTTCCCAGTTTTCTGACCACCAAGCAAACTCTGCGTACTCAGAATACCCATCCCCCTCCACTCTTATGCCGAAGCCGCATATGCCACATTCTGGTAGTATCTGAATCCGGATCCGAGGACGATACAGCAACTGAACCCGTGATTGTGCTACCCTGTAGAGCATATAAACCATGCTTCTTCAGTCCCTTCATCACCACAAGAGCACCCTTGGAAACCCGAATAGCTCCACCTCCAGCCTTATAAGTGCACTCGATGGAATCCAACATACCCAGGGAAATCAAGTTCTTTTTCAGTTCTGGTACATGCCTGACATCAGTTAGTGTCCTCACTATGCCATCATTCATCTTGATTCGAACTGTACCGGTACCTTCAACATTGCACACTGCATCATTCCCCATCAGAACTTCCTTTCCATCAATAGATCAATAAGAGGTAAACCAATCCCTGTTTGGACAAGCATGAAATGAGCAACCCGAATTAAGAATCCATTAATCGCAAGAGCTGCCGACTGAAATTGTGAGAACATTACCACTATCTGAATCATTATTCTCTGCAATAGCCACACTTTCAACTTCAGAGGATTTTATCTTTCCCTTCTTATGCTCCGGACAATCCTTTTTGAAGTGCCTTTCCTTGTGACAGATGAAACATCTCAACACCTTCGGTTTGTTCTTAGACTTAGAACGACCTTTGCTGCCAGACCCTCCCTTCTGATTCGTTCTCCTTCTAACAAATGACCCCTCAGCCGAACTTTCTGTATTGCCCTCAAACGCCCTTTTTTGCAACTCCTTATAATTCAGAGTTGCTTTCACGTCTTCCATGGACAAAGCAGTTCTTCCATACATCATTGTATCGACAAAGTTCTCATATGAGGGTGGTAGAGAATACAACAGAATAATAGCCTGATCTTCATCCTCTATCTTGACATCAAGATGGTTATACTATATCTTGACATCAAGAATAATTGCCTGATCTTCATCCATGATTATACTGTTTACCTCGTCAAGATGGTCTTTCAGAGACGAACCTTCGTGCATCTGAAGAGTGAACAACCGCTTCTTTAGATATAAGCGATTCGCAAGAGACTTCGTCATGTATCGAGACTCCAACTTCTGCCACAGCCCATCCGCCGTAGTCTCTCCAGGAAAACCTCGTTACTCAAGCACAACAAGATTGTACTGTTTGCCTTCTCCATAACCTCATCTTTATCCTCGGATCTTTTCTGGCAGTGCATCCTTACCCTTCAACGCCTTGGATAACCTTTGTTGAACCAACAAAGCCTCCATCCTAACCCGCCACAGGTTGAAATCGTTTTTGCCATTAAACTTCTTGATTTCCAGAAACTTAGACGACATCCCTGCTTTGAATCGAAAAGCTCTGATACCAATTGGTTATGACAAACGCAACGAACTCAAATTGAAACAAGAATCACGACAGGAATTAAACACGCCACACAATGAACACAAAGATTTATACGTGGTTCGGCAACAGCCTACGCCCACGGTTGGGATCCGGGGAAAGTTTTCAAAATCAGAGATTACAAATTTTCAGTCCCTCACTCTGTTTCTGTACGAATATCAGTCTCTCTCTTCTCCACCACTCCAAACCTTAAGCGCCCTTATATATCGGGCTACAAGAGACCAATTAGAGTCCACGACCCATGAGCAAAAAAGGGGTCAAAATTTTCCGTCAGGTTATAAGCGGGTCGCGGCACCAAATTCAGGCCACAATATCACATATACGATCTATATCGCTCATATATTGATAATAGATTATGGTATATATTTCAAACACTTAAATGTCAATATCTTGCTGTACTATATAAATTATGTTATATATCAATAAAATGTATCATTGAGCTGATCAAATATATTTATGATAAAAAGAAAAATGAAATAATAAAAATAATCTGAATAAGTGAATTTTATTGAGCTTGTGGGAAAACGTGTTTAATGACTTGTATTCTATACGTGTATAGTTAGCTATTTAGGAAATTCTGTAACAACCTGTATTCCTAGAATTAGGCCGATTCTGGAACAGCTGTATTCCTAGAATTAGGCTGATTTAGTTAGTTTTCTATTCTGTTAGAATATCCCATAAGTCATGGGATCTGATATAACCTAGTTAGTTTTCCTTTTTCTGCTGCTAGGGGTTGATATATATAGCTAACATTTTGTGTATTATTCATCATCAATGAAGGAAATTCTTTTCTCAGTTTGTGTCAGAGCTGATTAAATATATTTATGATACAAAGAAAAATAAAAATATATCTGAACAAGGGAGTTATAAATATAAAAATAATTCAGTAAAAATTATAAATTCAAAAAATTGAAAATAACTTCCATAACATTTTGATAAAGTTTAACAATTGTATGAATGTGAATTACTGAAATTTCTGCAATAACTGAAAATTTGAGAAATCATATACTCAGGAGCAAGACTCACGAACTAGGCTTACAGGTCTACTATGAAAAAAAAAAAAAAAAAAGGGAAAAAGAAAAGAAAAGAAGAAGAATAAGTTAGATCTAAGTGTAGAAACAGAAAAACATTCAAAAAAAATGAAAATTTAGAATTATTTGAAGTATCGAAAGCTTTGATTCAAGAATGAGGCTGAAGTCTTGTCTCTTTTGGATATTAGTGGCTAGATCTACTCATCTACATTTTAAAGAACTGATTGGATGTGGTTTTTAGTTGGGTGGAAGTGAAATAAAGTGGAAAAAAGAGGTGGTTTTTAAACCCAGGAATCCGATTGGATGGACCATAACAACTGGCTTTATAACAATCCATTACCACATCCTCTTCCCTTATGGTGTGAGTTTCTTGAATTCCTGCTGACATTTAAATGTGCTTCTGATGTGGGGCCTGCTGGATCCGTTATCAACTCGGCCGGGTCTTTAGGCCTTGCGTGCTATGATTCTCTGTAGCAATATCCACGAAGGAGATAAACGTCTTGGTAGTCTTGTTATGTTTCCATATTACTCTAGTTGTTTAGGGAGGACCATTTAGTTGTAAGTTTTAACAAGTAAGGCAATCACCGTGGGGAAAAAGAAAAATAGAGAAACTAATTGGGTCTTGTTCATAAGAATTTCTTAGATCCATCTCATGATTGGGCCTGGTATGACAACATACTTCAGTGAACTAACCCTAACCCTTTATTTTAACTGATTTCTTGTACTTCTAAAATTGTAATAGAATTTGGACTGAGTTGTGTTGTGACAAAATATTTACAGATGATTATGGTTTCCAAATAATTTCATTTTTACAAACCTGATTTTTGAGTCCAGGTCAAAGCCCAAGACACTGTTTAGGATGAAATTTTTTTGTTTCTCTCTCATGGTCAAGTGAAGAAAAATTACTGATTTTATGTTGCCATTTTTTTGTAACTAAAATGGCCCTATCTAGTGCGGTTCCATTTAATTGAGGATGCTAGGTATTACTGGGTGGAGAGGTCAATGAGGAACAGACTTAGCTTTTGGCATCATTTGCAGAAAGTGTGCCTCAAATCTGAACCTTTGTCTGACACATGGCAGCACAAGCTTTTACCACTGCAGCAGGCAAATATATAATGATTTTTGTCTTGTTTCTTCGTCATATTCCTCTTTAAATTTAGTCTCTTCTCCCAGAATTGTGTTTTGTGTCAGAATGACATGTAAAGTGCAATAATAGCTATTGATGCAGACTACACGTGTCTCAGCATTATGGAATTGCATAAAATTGTTTGTTTTTTTCCTTAATTTGCAAAAAAAAAAAAAAAATCTGTTTTATATTAATCCATATTTGCAGTTAATGATGAAGTGTGTATATTTCAGGATATTATTTGGCATGGCTTTAAGGAAAATTGCACAGCAAAGATGATCCAGCACGCAACACTTTCTAGCCCACATTCTGGTATGGAAACAAGTGAAAAGCAATATCTTGAATAGTTCATTTTTATGTATCCAGTGTTATATGTAAATATAAAGCTCAATTTAGATATTCTTGACTGCCTGTGATTAGTCAAACCTAACCTGGTAGATTTCTTATTTTGTAGGGCAAGCTCTTGTTATTTTCAAAACGAGGGAAGCAGCAGAGAGGGCCACTAGAAAATTGGACAAGGGATGCCTAATGCTATCAGATGGGAGGTACGTAGACAAGTCCACCGAAAAGCAATGCCTTATATCATTTAGCAGGGTTCAGCAACTTTTCAGTAAAATAAGAGGCAGGGAGGCAGGCTTTGCATTTTGTTTTTAAAGGACCTGTCACTTGTTGCATGATAGTATGTGTTGTGACGTAAAAACCTTATTCTCTTTCCAACTTTCGTTACTCCCACGTACTGCTGGCTTTTATTATGGTCTGGTCCCTTTTATGCTATACATTTGGTATGTGGGAATGAAATGGAATGAAGTAGGAAATGGAATGAGAATGATATAGTAATGGAATGGTCATTCTCTTTCCATTGTTTGGTTGCAATCATAAAATGACGCAGGAATGGAATGAATGTGGTCATTCTCATTCCATTGTTTGGTTGCAATCTTAAAATGACGCAGGAATGGAATGGTCATTCTCATTTTAATGTTTGGTTAAACCAAAATAAAAGTTAGAATTGAATGAATTTAATTAATTTATCTGAAATACCCCTATAGGTAATATATAACCACCATCACCAAGCCTTTCCCCCGGCTTCCTATATGTAATAAATCTTCAGATGAAAAAAATCAATATTAACACAAACACACCTTTCAAACAATAAATAACATATATATATGTATGTATTTATATATCTAGAATAAATGTATTTGAATTATAAATATATTTAATGGGTGTACATTTTACATGTAAACACACTCTTTACAAAATCTACAACAGTAGTAGGCATGCCAACTGTTCAATTTCAACCACAAATAAAATAACTAGATAATAACTAAGGCCATTCCTATATTATCGTCTGTTCTAGTTCATGATTGTTGTTGGGTTCCTGATCTCGAGTCACAGGGAAAGGCCTATTCTTTGTTTATGTGACAGTATCAGCTTTACTTAGGGCTCTTTTGTGCCTTTTTCTTCCTTATATTTAAATTAAGCTGTATGGCTGAGAACAAAAATTTTTTTAGCTGGAATTAATTTTATTCAGGTCATACATTCTTCTTTTCTTACAAATTAAACGTATGGCAGAATTATTAGAGACTGTTGATTTTTAAACAAATCCGCCTTTGGCTAATATTTTATTTGAGAGTGTCAGGTGTGTGCTTCATATTAGCGCCCTCGTTTAGAGGTTTTCCATTGTTCCCTCTTAGAAACTTAGGCTTTGAGATTGATCAATATGATTGAACTGCGTCAATCTTGAATATGCTTTTAGTTTTTCAATTAAACTTCTGGTCTATTATTCGGTTTCCATTGTTTCCCTCTAAGGAACTCAGGCTTTGACATGGATTTAATTATTATTTCATGAATCACGCTTTAAACAGCGTCAATATTGAATCTGCTTTCATTTTTGCATATTGAACTGCTGGTCTATTATTCGGTTTCCATTGTTTCCCTCTAAGGAACTCTGGCTTTGACATGGATTTAATTATTATTTCATGAATCACGCTTCAAACTGCGTCAATATTGAATCTGCTTTCATTTTTGCATATTAAACTACTGGTCTATTATTAGGTTTTAGGGGACTGTTCAATTGTCAACTGATCTTGCTAAAGCTGTCCATACACACCTCTTATAGTTGTTCCTTGGCAGCATTTTCTTGTTTTTATTACCTGGAGTCTCAATTTGCTTCTCAATGTACACATAACTGCTTTCATTTTCTTCTTTGGCCTATTTTTTTGAACCAAGAAAGATGCCTTGACTTTCTGTTGGTAGTGTGTAGAATGTACGCCAGTTTGCATATTCTTGAATTTGAAGATTTCCTAGGGATAGCTCACTTATCAAATGAGTTTTTTGTGGAAAGTAATTTTTCAAATGATTAGGCAACTGAAGCTTGATGTCTTAAAATATATAACACGATGTTAGCTTTGCCTTCTTGATCTGCAACTACATATTCTGCGCAGCTTGGGATGGAAGTCTCCTCGTTCTGATGTTAACTATTATTAGAAACCATGCGATTTGCCAACTCTCGACATGCGGAGAGACGGACTATATGACGTTCTTTTATTTGTAGGCCTCTTGTTGGAAGCGTTGCAACTCCTAGCTTTCCGGGAAAGCAGTCAACATTTTTTGGCCATTTGTTTATTGATAAGATTAAATTCCAAATGCAAAGTGAGATGGTATGTTCTGTTCTACTCTCTCTCAAACCCCCCCCCCCCCCCCCCCCCCCCCCCAACCCACACGCACACACATACATGTATATGTATATCACATAGATGTGCAAGTGTATGCACTCACCGTCTTCGTTTCTGAGCATTTTAATTCTTTTCTGTTTGTATTAATGTAATCTCTGGGTTTTTATTTGCCAGAAACAAGCTGTTTCTACTTCACATTGTTCCCAGCCTAACACGATTGAATATGAGATGGCCATGGAATGGTGCCTCCTACAAGAAAGGTCAGAGAGCTCGTGGAAGAGATTGTACAAGGTCTGATTAGTTTGAGATTGTTTCGGAGTTTTATAATATAATATTATGTATAATATATATGGATTCTTATGTTAACTTGGCTGCCTAAAATTGTTGAACTGACGATATTGTGTTCCTTTAGCAACAAGGGGAGGAATTGAGAAAGCTCAAGGCCAATCTCAAGTCGAAATAAGTGCCAGGATGTACATTCCACTCTTCACTTGCCAGCATCTTGCTAAGAACCGTACCATGTTTTTGAACTTTTGGTTGCCATACTTCTGTACAGGATCTCTATGTTTTTCCTTTGAAGCGATGGCCTTCTTCCTCCTGCGTCACACCCAAAATTATGGATGCTTTTTGTTCATAGTTATCTCGAGAAAGTAAATGAGAGCTCTCCTTTTTGATTATATATACATCGGTAAAGGTCTCAAACTATTTTTCTGCTTTTCTATGATTGTTCTATGCAAGTTACTACAAACACATTGCAGAGAGTTTTTATTTCACTTTGCTACCTCCTTAAATTTTTTTTTTTTTTTTGAATATTGAAATATCTAAAATCGGTTCCATTCAAAGTTGACAATAATATTACTGCCTTAGTTTTCAATCATTTCAATTATCTTCCAGTTGCTTCTTTCTGAAAGAAGATCGATACATAATGCTACGTTGACTTTCACATAAATAAGAGTTGCCCAAAGTTAATATTACGCAATAGTTTTAGCCAATAACGTTGATAATTAATTTAAGTGCCTTCATGTGGTTGATTTAGAGTGCTTTACTAGGCTAATAACAACGCTTAATTGTTCTTCATATTGGTGTCTGTTTTGCAGATGGAAACGTAAAACAAAAATGGAGGCAAAGTCCCCCCATCATGTGGGAAGAAAGCAAAAGTTTTGTTGTTCATATGTAGTGTGTTACATTATGCATGTTTGATGTTCCGTCGTGGATCTTATGTAAATCTTTTTCTTTTTGGTCTATAATTTCTTGATGTTTTGGATGATATGATATAGCAGGCTACTATTTTCTAGTATATATATATCCTTTTTTCAGTACCATAATTCATGTGTTTTACCGGGAAGGAAAAAAAAGAAAAAGAAAAAAAAAGTGATGGAAATGCCTAATCTTTCATTTTAACTCCATGTACTGCAAAAAGAACAAATATACTTTAGAGCTTGAGTAATTCAAGTAAGTATTTTTTTTTTTAATTTAATTAAAATTTGATGAGTAAAGATGAAAAATTACCTCAATTACAAATTGAGTAAATCATTTAGAATAATTTATTAATGTTTGGCGATCATTGAACACTGTTAGAGTTGTAATATAATATTATTAAATCATTGAAATAAATACAATAATAAGATTTTAAGATATAATAATACTGTTGAAAGCATTTTGGGCATGTTGTGCTGCATTTTTCAAGGTTTTTCGCAAGTTGTGCAACAAAATATAATTTCTCAATAAATAAATTGAATATAAAAATGTGATATACAATTAAGGAAGATATGATGAAATTTAATACTTCAAAGGATATTGTAAATTTTTCTATTATATTTGGAAGTTTGACTTTTTCAACACCATTGAATTTTTGATCTTTTGTACTGAAAATTAAACTTCTTTTGTACTGAAAATTAAACTTTTTATATCATTCTTATTAATATTCTCTTTGGACCTGTCCACCTATAAATTATTTTTGAAAATAATTAAATAAATAAAACAAAAAAACATGTTCTCTTTATACAAATAGTGTATACCTATTTGAATTTTATTAGGTAATAATTTTTAGAGGTGAGTTTTAATAAATATTATATTTGAATTTTATTAGGTAATATGAAATATATTTCGTGTTAGAGTTTTAATAAATATTTTATTTGAATTTTATTAGATGATAATATTTAAAGTTTCTATAATTTGAAATATATTTCGCGTTAGAGTTTTATATTTCAGTCTTTGCACATTAGAAAAATAAAAAATGTTTGGTAATTTATAACTCAAAACTGATGTAGGACAATTAAACTTATTTAATAAATATTTTAAATGTTTGGAAAATTAATTTATTAAATAATTACCTATTTTATTTTAATATGTAACTTTTAATAAGCTTCAAAACAAAAAGACCGAGAAAAGTATGATTATATTTTTCTAGGTCTATATTTTTATAAGAGGCTTCCATGTTATCCTTTATAACTCAAAACCGACCATGTGGGACAATTAAACTCTTTAAAACCAATGTGGGACAAGAAAAATGTTTGGTAAATTATTTTATCAAATAATTACCAAAAATATTTATTAATTGAGATAAAAAAAAGTTTCTATAAAACTCTAACACAAATTATCTATTTACCTATTTGAATTTTATTAGGTAATAATTTTTAGAGTTTCTATAAGTTGAAATATATTTCCATGTGTTAGAGTTTTAATAAATATTTTATTTGAATTTAAAATATTTATTAATTGATATAAAAAGAGTTTCTATAAAACTGTTACACAAATTACCTATTTACCTATTTGAATTTTATTAGGTAAACTATAATTTGAAATATATTTCCATGTGTTAGAGTTTTAATAAATATTTTATTTAAATTTTATTAGGTAATAATTTTTAGAGTTTCTATAAATTGAAGTGTATTTCATGTTAGAATTTTAATGAATATTTTATTTGAATTTTATTAGGTAATAATTTTTATATTTTCTTCAATTTGAAATATATTTCGTGTTAGAGTTTTAATAAATATTTTATTAGGTAATAATTTTTAGAGTTTTTATAATTTGAAATATATTTTGTGTTACAGTTTTAATAAATATTTTATTTAAATTTTATTGGGTAATAATTTGAAATATATTTCGTGTTAGAGTTTTATATTTCAGTCTTTGCACATTAGAAAAATGTTGGGTAATTTATAACTCAAAACCGATGTGGGACAATTAAACTGCTATCCTAAATTATACAAGTTTTAAATTACAGTAATATCCTCTATAAATTACAATATTATAAATATTATTGGATATAATGGTAAAAATAATTAAAATTTTTTATTTCCTTCTCTCTTTTAAGAATTCTTAGTATAATATGATTTATTTTAATTGATAACTTATAGGATTTATTTTAATTAGTAACTTATTTTATTATTTGGTAAATTATTTTATTATTTTATCTATAAATGATTCCAAACATCTTGAATTTCAATTAAGAAATTTCCTATTTAATTTTAGTTAGTATGTTATTTTATTATTTGGTAAATTATTTTACTAAATAATTACCTATTTTATTTTAATAGGTAACTTGTTTATTTTATTTGGTAACTTATAGGATTTATTTTAATTGGTAACTAATTTTATTATTTGGTAAATTATTATATTATTTTATCTATAAATGATTTGAAACATCTTCAATGAATTTCAATTAAACAATTATCTGTTTAATTTTAATTAGTAATTTATGTAATGATTTGAAATTAACATCTTGATTAAATTTCAATTAAACAGTTACCTATTTAATTTTAATTAATAATTATTTTATTATTTGGTAAATTATTTTATTAAATATTTACCTATTTTATTTTAATACAAAACTTGTAAATTGTTCATTTTAAGTGGTAACATATTTTATTTTTTGGTAAATTATTTTATTATTTTATCTATAAATAATTTGAAACATCTTGATTGAATTTCAATTAAATAATTACTTATTTAATTTTAATTGGTAATTTATTTAATGATTTAAAATTAACATCTTAATTGAATTTAAATTATACAATTACCTATTTAATTTTAATTAGTAATTTATTTTATTAAATAATTACTTATTTTATTTTAATAGGTAACTTATTTTAATAATGATTTGAAACATCTTGATTGAATATTAATTAAAAAATTACCTATTTAATTTGAATTGGTAATTTATTTTATTATTTGATAAATTATTTTATTAAATTAAATTTTAATTAAACAATTACCTATTTAATTTTAATTGATAAATTATTTTATTAAATAATTACCTCTTTTATTTTATATTTGTTAATAAATATTTTTTTATATTAATAAAAAATTACTAAATACTAAAGACATTGAAACTTTTTATACTCTTAAGGGCATGTTTGCTATATTAATAGCCGGATGAAACTTAACCCTTTTTTGAACACAAACACCCCCTGCCAAAAATTTCACACAAACAAGCCCTTAAAAGATAGAAAAAGACAGAAATTACCATTAAATATTTAATTCATTTTAATAATAAAAATAAAAAATATATATCAAAATAAGTTAAATTTGTCCACATCTATGTTCGGTTTAACCACGGCCACTGCCACCATCTCTCTTCGCCCACTGGTGATTACACAATATCCCCATCTATCCTATCACCACCACCACGGTTGATCTGTGCCCGAGGTGGCCCAATAGGCGGCGACCGGCTCAGAGCGAGCCGCAGCTCTTCTTGCTCTGAGCTCAGAGGGTTATCATCTATGCGCACAGATGATTGATCCCCAACTCTTTCTTGTCAAGTTGACTCGGTCCATCGCTAAAACTGTTTGCCAGACCTTTCTACCCTTCAACGTTGTGAGGATCCAACCCTTGAAGGGGTTGGGCTTGAAAGCGACTCAATAATAGAATAGATGATTCGATTCGATTTGGTATGTTTTTCGGTATATATATATATATGAGATAAAAAAAAATAAAATAAAAAAACTCACCAATTCTTCAACTTTCCTTTATAAGTTCTGCCTAATCTGACTTGGGATCGGATTAGGGTTACATACTTAGTATATATATATATATATAGTCTGTAGAGGTTTTAGAAAACCCGCATACAGAGAGAGGAAACCGTGAAGAAGGAGAAAAGAAAGGGTCTGCGTGACGGCTTGAGAGTGAAGCCAAGGAGGCCGAACCAAGGAAAGGGTTTCTTCTGTTTTGCAATTCTGATATCGGAGTATGGATTCTCAACTCAACGTCTCACCAGGAAAGGGCTTTATCAGGCTATTCCAATTTGTCCGTCACGTACTCTCTCTCTCTCTCTATATGTATATGTATATGGCTAATTAATTTGTTAATTTGGTAGCATATACTGGTATAGTTATTCCAGAATATATTTTATTTGATTCCACACCATTTAATTTTTATAATATAATATAATTATTTATATATTAACATGTTTTTATAATATAATATAAATGAATTTTTACATATAAATGGAATTATGGAGCCATATTTACTCATGGATGGAGTCAAAGTCTTATATTTTCACAAAAATGAGTTTGACCTAAATGATGACATGGCATATGAAGTTTTACTGTTTGAAATTTTTGTTACCTAAAATGCCATTCTCCCTATTCCAATGCATTTACCTTATCACCCTTGTTCAGAAAACACTTCAAAAATGTGGTACCTTTAAACCAAAAGTGGTATATTCGTAAAAGGGAATTGTTTTTGCAATTGAAAATGACATTGAACCCCACACCACTAATTAAGTTGCATATTACATCCATAAACAGCTCCATTAAATTATTCTTCTTCAAGCTAGCTAAGCGAGTGTTTAAAAAATATGGTACCTGAAGGCCAAAAAGTGGTATCTTCAATTCAAAAACGTGGTACCTTTAGAACAAAAGTGATACCTTCGTAAAAGAAACTTATTTTTGCAATTGAAAATGGTATTAAACCCCACACCGTTAATTAAGTTGCACATTAGATCCATAAACTGCTGTTGAAAAATTTATAAACCTCCTTATTAAATATAAGAGCCTAACATGCATCTATGCATCTATTTATTAAATAGAATAACCAAAATCCATTACTTTTCATTAAATCAAAACCATCAAGTGAAGTACCATGTCTACAAAATACTTTAAGTCGCCACGAATGTGAAAAAAGTTATGATCCATCCAATCTAATAAAGTCAACAAAAAATAAAAAACTAAATCACTAAATTTAAAGAAAGCAATCATATTTTGCAAAATAAGACAATTAATTTAAATAAATCAAATAATTAAATAGACACTTAAATAATAA